TGTGTGTGTTGGATTGAAGTTACAGTCACGAGCCAATAAAATGCATTATCTATATAATTAATTAATTAAAAACTTGTGCGTTTGTCTTAACTCAATTAATTAAGAAAACAAAACAAAGTACTTAATTATTATTTTCAAGAATCAAATGGATATTTCTGAGAATTAAAGTTTCTATCTTAACTCAAATTTACTAGATTACCCTCTTTGAGAATACATATTAGATGTTTTAACTTGATTTCATCTGACAATTAAATACTAAAACTCGTTCTCACTGAATCTAGTGAACATCCAATGTATCTAGTGGATACACAATGTTGTTGTGACACATGAATTTGAAGATGTCTAGCAAGTAATTCGTAAGATAGAATATTCAATTCATGACACGATGGAGACGAGTTGAGGTGTTTAGTATTTAATTGTCAATTGAAACCAAGTTAAATTTCTAGCTATATTTCCTAATTCAATCTACTATAAACACAGAAAATGGAAAGAAAAAAAAAGCTTCTAGAACTCATTGGTAATTAGTAGAGAGAAAGCCCAAAATAGTCCCTCATCTTTGGATTAAGACTCAAAGTCATCCTTGAGTTTTCACATGGAGCACTAATAGTCCCTCATGTTTGCAATATTGGTGCACTTTTGGTCCTCCCCTAAACTTTTGCCTATTTTTTAACATTAACTTTTTTCATAATTTTATGTAAGGAATGTCTCATCGTCTTTTTATATATTTAGTAGAAATAATAACTCTATATGAGAGAAGGTGAGAAGAAGAACACCTTGTTCTGTTAAGTATAAATATCACTGCAACTAAACTAAAAATATTTTAACGTATGACATTGCAAGAAAAGAAAAAATTGTACTATTATACGTGAAATCGTCGTGATGAACGTCTCGACTTTACCTGCAATAAGATTTCTACTAAACAAAATAAGGTGTTTTTCTTCTCACAATCTCTCACATTGAGTTATTATTTCTACTAGATATATAAAATGACGATTAAACATTCCATACATTAATTATGAATAAAATCAATGTTAAAAAATAGGCAAAATTTTGAAGGAGGACCAAAAGTGCACCAATATTGCAAACATAAGGGAATATTAATGTTCCATGTGAAAACTCAAGGATGACTTTGAGTCTTAACCCAAAGATGAAGGACTATTTTGGGCCTTTATCCTAATTAGTACCCAAAGAAAAGTAAAGGAGATTCAATATTTACTTTATAAACATAAAAATAATTTTAATTTTGTATATATAATGTAATTTTTTGTCTAAGAAGATTCATATGAACCTCTTATCTTTACCTAGCTCCGCCGTTACTCAAGAATGTAGTGAAAAGAATGAAATTTCACCACTCTTAATTTGAGATCTTGAGTTTAAATCGTGAGAATGAAAAATTTCTTTATAAAGACCACTTTACTACCTAAATTAATATATTTAACATGAATTTAAATTAGTCAAATCAATATACTTCGAATCAATAATAAATATTTCACAAAATTAATGCATGGTGCTCTTAAGCTAGCTGGACTCTATACTTACATGGTCAATGTAGGTGGCTATTCAGGTTTTCAACATATTTAGTGAGAGTAGTTTACTTCTTTACTAGTTGGTACACCAAATTAATATGCTTCCCTAACCACTTCAATTTTTGCTACTAACATTTATTTCAATGACCATCTAGTACCGTAATTCACTGATCTGATTAATTTTAATTTACATTTATATCAAAGAAAATTCTATTTTCAAGGTTTGCATTTATAATTTTGAAGTATAACACTCAATGGCCAATAACCTGTTGCTGATTTTAAGCCAAAGAAAATTGTCTGACGTTTTCTTTTTAATTTTAAATCTCAATAACGGACGTTCTTGATCGAAAATTCCATCCGTTGAAATATTGGATAGAACCTTCATTGCCTACTTGTGGACAGGAAACAATAATCTTTGCTTAATGCGTGAATTGGTCACATACCATATCCCTTGGTGATCGTGTCACTAAAATTCTATAGTTATTAAAGTATCTTTATAACGGATACGGATTAGCTAGATGTATATATCGTGAATCATATTTACATTTAAAGTATTTTGTTACACTTGAATCACCTTCGAAAAAAATGCACATCACCTAGATCATATTATCAACCTATTGATTTTTAATATGCTGTCAAATTCAATTTATGCGATATAGTTTAATTGAGTATACGGAGTTTTAGTAAGAGGAAGCAAGTGTTTGGAAGTTGTGATCATAAACATGACACAAATCTTATGTGAATATATAATAGTGTTATTAGGAGTAAAATAAGAAGTTTAGAATTAATATTTAAATATAAACATTTTTTTTAAATGATGATAGACTTATAATAAAAATATTGTGACACTCAAGTATGCTAATCAAATAAAAATGTAGTTAAGATTGGATAATCATATAATTTTAAAAAAAGAAAAATATCAAATGAATTATGCTAAGAATAATAATAGGTATTATGTCAACATAATTAAAATAGATTCCCAAATCAACTAAACACTAAAAAAATCAAGAATTATTTAAAATTCTCAATTTATAAATCTGAAGTTTCTAAATTCAAGCAACATTGCAAAAGAAACAAAATACACGCAAATCAATTTTTCTTTTAAGTCATTTGTCCATATTAATAAATGACAAAAAATACAAATGAATTTAAATAACCACTTGTTATTATATGTTGCTATCAAGTAGTTGTTTGAATTTTCATTTTTTGTGTATAAATAAACGCGTTTTAGTCGCATCAAGACAAGGACATATTAGCATATGGTCCATCTCCATTTATTTATCTTGAAATTGAAATATCGAGCATAATTTCATAAACGATCATTTTATTTTTACTAATTTATCGAAAAAATAATTCAGTTATGTCTATGCATCAAAGGTCATGACAACATAAATTAGAGCCTAGGTTGCCAAACTTTCTTTCATAATATCGGATCCACGTGACACTATCTAAAAAATAAATATTTCATTTTTCGATATTAAAATTAAAATTATAATTTTTAACTAGAGGATTCTACGACTAAAAGTAAGTCAACATGTTCAATTAAATCTCATTCATTGGTTATTGCTTCGTCACTTGGTGAAATATATCGATTAATTAAGTCTTGGTTGAAGATTTATTTGTTTAATATCTTTTTGTAATGCCAAGTATATATTATATAATGAGTATATTGTTGATGTGACTTTTTATTGTATTTTTTTAATCGAACTCAATATTTTTTGCTTCTCTTTGAATGATATATAATATAGTTTTCATTATAAAAAAAAACAATTTTATGACTTTAGTGTAATAAATTAAAAATTGAATTGCCATGGATAAATTAAAATTCTCAAAAATTGTTTTTGTTGAAGCTATTACAAGGAAACTTCTCCTACATCAAATCAATAGACAAATAAATTTAGTTTAAGTAGGTGTGAACAATCAATGTCTTCTGACAAATTTATTGCATGTCCTTACTTTCTATGACCAAAAAAAAGTTCTAATTAAATTTCTTTTGTTGAAAAATTATTTTATGCAAATAATTTTTTTTAGGTATATTTATAATTTTAACCTCAAAGTAACATAATAATTGGTTATATATATATAAATGATTTTTTAAAGTAATTTTTTAAAAATATATAAATGATTATACTAAATTTTGCTTAAATTTGTAATAAACATAATAAATCCGCCACTGTTGTTGATGTAAAGGAAGTTTCCATTTTAGTGATAACGAAAATTCAATAATTATTTTAGATCATAAGTTAAAATTATTAAAATTTCTGACTTCCCCATATATATTTATTTATATAAACTAAAATTTAAAAAATATATATAGGTTTTGGATACAAAAATATTAAATTTATGTAAATTTGTAACAAACACGATAAATCCGCCCTTGTTGTTGATGTAAAGGAAGTTTCCATTTTAGTGATAACAAAAATTCAATATAATTATTTTAGATCGTAAAATTAAAATTATTAAAATTTCTGACTTCGCCACAATTTTCTCATTATGTTCTAACATCATTTTCAAAAGTCTCACATGTAACATGAGAGACCTTATCTTAATAGCTGTTATCCTCTATTCCATCTAATGGTCTTCCTTTCTTTATTTTTTTTGTAGCTTTGTTCATAATTCTATGCACCAATTTTGCCTTTGACTCTTAGTTTATTTTATTATTTTTAAGTTCCTTTTAAATTCTTCCTTGGGAATTCTTCAAACACTATGTGCCACATTCAACAAATATCAAAAGTATCTTTTTTTGTTGCTTTCACTTTTTTGATTTTTTCTTAAGGTAATTGCATTTATGGTCCTTCATTTATTTTATTTTTTTTAATTTGGATCATTCAAATATTTGATTAAACACATTTTATCTTTAATTAACTAACGTATATGTTTTGGTCCCTTTGTATGAGAAATATGTGATATTTAGACTATTTTTGAATTAAATTACCTTAAAAAATGGAGTAATAAACAAGATCAACAACATGCTCAATGTAATCTCATAAGTGAAATTAAAAAATGATGCAGTGTACATAAATCTTAGTCCTATCTTGAGAGGTAGAGAGACTGTTTTCTATATACCATCAACTCAAGAAAAAACATATCGATAATCGCTAATTGATTCATTAAATTAAGAAGATACGCGATCCAAGGGACTAAACTAAAGGTTAAATGTGTTTAACTAGAAATTATAAGGATCAAAATCTAAATTTGTTGATATTTGAGGGACTAAAATTGCTATTTTCTTATTCTTAAAAAGCTAATCTTGCTTGTGTTAGAAAAAAAATGTGTATAAGGGTAGTTGTGCTTTTCATCATTTTTTTCTCATACACCAAATTGAACATAGAACCATTTTTTCTCCATTCTTAAATTAGACTTCAAATTCTTGAACGCTAAGTGGAACACAATTACACAAAGTTGACAACTTTTTTTTTCTTGAAAGTTTAGTCCATTTGGTGCGTTGGGGTTGTTGATATCACATATTAAGTTCATTTCAAGATTTCAAAGTTTGTTTTTTTTTTCACTTTCTTGAAAGTTTAGTCCATTTGGTGTTGTGGGGTTCTAGTGAAATCAAATTTTAAGTATATTTCAAGATTGCATTTTTTGAACAATGACATAAATATTGAGTCTTTTTTAGCTCCTCATTTCAAGAAATGAAAACCATTATGGATTTTGCAATACTTCATTTGTTTGTTTTGGTATTGTCTGTGTTGTGTTTGATGATATGTGCCTTAGAGTTTGATCCTGTTGATAACTATCTCATAAACTGTGGTTCATTTAAAAATACTACTATAGGTGATAGAGTTTTCTTAGCTGATAACTTGAATTCCCCTCAAAGGGTATTTGTTAATACAACTCTAGAGTCTATTCCATCTAGTTATAGTTCAAATCTTTATCAAACTGCTAGAATTCTTAATGAGACCTCAAAATTCACATTTTCAATCAAGAAACAAGGGCGCCATTGGATTCGCCTGTATTTCTATCCGTTTTCGTATGGAAATTTCAATCTTAGTTCTGCTAAGTTCTCTGTTTCTATTCAGAACTTCACTTTGATCAAGAGCTTTCAATCATTGAGTGGTCCTTTGGTAAAAGAGTACACTTTGAACATTACTAGTACTAGTCTTGTTCTTACGTTTACGCCTTTTTCTAGCTCGTTTGCGTTTGTAAATGCGTTGGAAATCATTTCACTTCCTGATGAGCTCATTCCTGTTGGTATTGGAACTCATAGTTTGAGGGAACAAGCTTTAGAAACAGTTGTGAGGGTGAATATGGGGAATGTTTCAGTGTTGCCTCAAAATGATACCTCGTGGCGATCTTGGGAATCTGATGAAAGATACTTAACAAGCAGGAATGTTTTTCAGTTTGAATCGAGGATACAAGCTGTGAATTACACACGAGGAGGGACTTCTAGGAATATTGCCCCTCCATCGGTGTATGGGACTGCTACGAGGCTGCAAGTGGATGATCCCACTGTTTCTGTAAACATCACGTGGTTGTTTGATGTTGATCCTGGCTTCGACTATTTCATCAGGTTCCACTTTTGTGACATAGTAACTGGCCACAATGATCCAAAAAAAGGAGGTGGTGACCATGAACTATTATTCAATGTTTACATCAATTCCCAATTTGCTTCGAGGGACCTTGATCTTAAAAACAAGACATCAAATGTCCTTGGTTCTCCGTATTACATGGATGTTTTTACAAGGTTAGAGAACATTCACAGCATTGGCATTAGCATTGGTCCAGCAGGTATACGTAATGCATATCCGGATGGCCTCCTGAATGGTCTCGAGATCATGAAAATAAGCAATGTCAAGGGAAGTCTTGATGCCTCAGATGCTGAGATTCAGTCCTCGGTGCCTACTTCAAAGAAGACTAAAACATGGTTGATCATTGGATCAACTATTGGAGGATCGATCATTTGCATCGTTTTGGTTGTGGTGTCTATTCTCTTTTGCAGAAGTAGAATACGGACAACTGTTGATGATTCAACAGAGGAAAATCATACAGCAGTTGGAGCTAAAGAAGCATCTCTCATTTGCAAGTCTAATATGGGGTACCTGTTCCCTCTTGTAGCAGTTCAGGAAGCAACCGATCACTTCAGTGAAAGCATGATCATAGGCTTTGGTGGTTTTGGAAAAGTTTACAAGGGAATTTTGAAGGATAACACAAAGGTGGCAGTGAAGAGAGGATTTCATCAATCACAACAAGGTCTTGCCGAGTTCATGACTGAAGTCGAAATGCTGTCTCAGTTTAGACATCGCCATTTGGTCTCACTGATCGGTTACTGTAATGAAAAGAATGAGATGATAATCATTTACGAGTACATGGAGAATGGAACTCTTAAGGATCATCTGTATGGTTCGGACCTTCCGAATTTGAATTGGACACAAAGGCTTGAAATTTGCATAGGATCAGCAAAAGGACTTCACTATCTTCATACTGGTTCTCATAAGGCAATCATACACCGAGATGTCAAGTCCTCGAATATACTTCTAGATGAAAATCTCCAGGCTAAAGTTTCTGATTTTGGACTATCGAAAATTGGTCCAGAAATTGATCAAACACATGTTAGTACTGCAGTGAAAGGAAGTTTTGGATATCTTGATCCAGAGTATTTGACAAGGCAACAACTAACCGATAAATCTGATGTCTATTCCTTTGGTGTTGTTATGTTTGAAGTCCTCTGTGGAAGGCCCGTTATCGATCCCTCTCTTCCCAAAGAATCGGTAAACTTGGTTGAATATGTGATGAAATGTTTAATGACAGGAGAATCGGAGGCAATCGTTGATCCTAGGATTGCACATGAGATTACACCAGAATCTCTGATGAAGTTTGTAGAGACTGCTGAGAAATGCTTGGCTGAATATGGTGCAGACAGGCCGACTATGGGAGAAGTTTTGTGGAACTTGGAATATGCATTGAAACTTCAAGGGAAAGATGAAAAAACAACACAAGAGAACAAGATATCGGATAATCAGTTGGATAATAGTGTCTTAAGTACTGAATACAGCATGGGGAGTATGACTGATCTTGCTGGTGTTTCAATGAGCAAAGTTTTTTGCCAAATGGTAAAATCTGAAAACAAAGACTCATGTGATGTATGTTAGGATAAAATGCAGGTCTCTGCCTTTGGATTGTATATTTGTATTCTCCTTTCTTTAGATTTCTATGTTATAACAGATACTTGTGTTGCTTCAATTGATTTGAAGCCGCGGTTATACTATACATACATAAGTTTTCATTAGGGATTTTTTGTTCACTAGCAATTCAAGTGTTCATGTGTCTCTCTTCATCATCACATATTCACAATTCAATGTCATAATGGTATTGCATTTATCATTTTTGGCAAGTTTATGATGTTCTTCAACTATACAACAACATACTACCTCGTGAAGGTAGAGAGACTGTTTCTAAAAAGACCCTCGACTCAGGTAACACATATCAAAGCAAATTTGATGTTCTTCTACTATACTTCCACAAGGTCTCCAAGATTATGCACATATGAGATGAACATATGTTGAATCCTTTTGGCTTCTAAAGTTCAGAAAGGGTTCTTGCTATAACTCCAGGCTGATGACTCAATGATGCATATTGAAGATTATCCATTTCTTCAAGTGAACTTTCCAATTTCGGAATAGTTACGGAATCTCCATAAATAGGATTAAATCTTATTCCGTTGTATTTACATGAGGTTTTTCTTTAGGAAAGTCCTCGAAAGAGCATAGTTGATTCATGATTTATATTTCATCTTTCATTCCCTCTTTCTTTGTTTCGAGAAATCTATCGTTCTTTCTTTCTCTTCCTTCTTTTCCAATCGAGATGTTTAAATCGTGCAAAAGCTCTATTTACATCCGTCATTCTATGAGTCACTTCATTTTTGTGTATGCCATCGCCACTCACTTTAGTGACATTTACTAATTCGGAACTTAATTTGAAAGTCATATGACTCACGCATTTTCGGAATGCAGCTAATAACCACTAATGCCAAAGTATGTGAATTGTGATGATAATTATTTTCTATGATATGAAGTTTTAATGGTTCCATTATTTTTTCACATCTCCTAGAGTAACTTTTATCATTAGCAAATTTGCTACAAAACATATAGAAGTAAAACGAATCTAGACCCACTGTAATCTCAAACACTAACTCATGAGGTAAGAATTATCACCTTGTCAAAACATGGTGACCACATGTCGTTTCCTCAATCGACGTAACAATCAACATCCCTTTTTTCTGCATTCAAAACTAGACATTTATTACGTGAACAATATATAACAATATACTATAAAATCTCCTTTGTGATAGCCTTCATTTTAGTTAGGGGAATTTTTGTTAGACAATCGTGACAAAATTTAATAAGTATTAATTTCATAGTAGTAAAATTTAATAGGTTTATATTTATTTATTTTTTTAAAAATATAAGTACTTAAAACCCGACCCATTAGAGCGCCAAATCTCAAATCCATAAATCTATACGAATTTGAAAGAAAAAAAGAGTTTCAGAATCCCTAAAGAAAAATTGATAATGGAGAGAGAAAAATCGAGTAGGAGAGAAAGAGGATCCAGGGACGGCGACGGCGACGACGATCACCGCCGTCATCGCCACCGTTCGAAGCATCACCGTGACGAAGAGAACCGACACCGGTCCGATGATCGGCGACGTCAAGACCGTGAGAGATCGATTGAACGTGAAGGAAGCAGAGATAGAGGTCACGATCGCGAGGATGAGAATCAACGTCAGATCGATGATCGGCGACGAGGTCGTGAGAGGGAAGGAAGCATAGATAGAGCTTATGATCGTGAAAGGCGGGAGAAATCACGTGATCAGGATAGATGCGAGAAATCGTTTGAGTTGGAAGTTAACAGAGAGGATTCAATGGAGAGAAGAAATTCGCATAAGAGGAAAGATAGAGGAGAGAATGTGGATAAGAGGAATGTAGATGAGAAGAGAGTTAGGGGTTCGGAGGTTAAGAAGGACAAACTGAGAGTTGGGGATGTGAAGTTGATGCATAAGGAAGATGTGGAAATCGATGAAGAAAAGAAGGGAAAAGGATTTGAAATGAGAACTGTGAAGGAAGAACCGAAACCGGAGCCCAATGACTATGGACAGGGTGTTGATACCATTGATACTGTGAGTTTTTTTGTTTCAATATTGTTCTTCCAAGTTGCATATCACATTTACATTGTTGTGTTGCTTTTACCTATGTTTGTATATGTCTTTCTTAGTTCTTATTTCCATGCACCTTTGTTACTGGGATACAACGCTGCATACTTCTGCATTGTCTTTATGAATTACATTTCTTAATTGTTGTTGAAATTGCACCCTAGGTGTGGCTTCCTCTCTTTATTATGTCTTAAGAAGTCTGTAATCTGGTTTCTTTTTTATCTGATAGAGCGTCACTTGACTAGTCTGGCACGTCTTGTTTCTCAGTTGTATGTTGTTGTATATTCTATTGTTTCTTTCATCAGGATGTTTGTCCTGATTTATGCATTTGACTTTCTTATTTGCAGAGTGTGGCAATGGGATCATACAGTGCAGCATCAAGGACTTCCCCTGATAAGCCTTTGACTCGTAGTGATTCTCCTGCTACCAAGGTATCTTCAATTTCTACCACAAATGAAAATAAGGGAGTTAATATTAACAGATTTCATAAGGTTCTTGGGAAATCTAGTACAGATGGGGCAGCTCGTGACACTGGCAAGAGTGCGACCTTATCGTTTGATGCTAAAGGAAATGCAAACGATCTCAAACAAAGGCATAAGGCGCTGAAAGAAAAGCTTAAGAGAATTCCTTTGGTAAGTTTGCATCTAAACACCCAGCTTATTTCTACAGTTTGTAAGTCTGTTCTCCTTTTACCTGGGCTCCCTATTCCTATCTCTTTCTTTAGTGGGAAATGAGAAGCACTACATGATTAAAAGCTAAGTTGCTTGGACTCTCCAAATATGTTGCCGCACCCGTGTCGGATCCTCCAAAAATGTACTACTTTTGAAGGATCTAACACGCACCCGACATCATTTTTGAAGATTCCGAGCAACTTAGATTAAAAGTATGCAGAAGGGCCTTAGAGAGAAGAGCTTCTTTTTTATCCTTTTCCCTCTTAGGTTTATAGGGAAGCCTTCCCTTTGTTTTGTGTCAACGATCTTAAACTATTATTTATGTTCTCTTTTAATTTCTGTAGTTAATCAAGGGTGCCAACTCTACGAGAGATGGAAGTTCACAAATGGGTTCCAAGGAGAGCCGTAAAGCCCCTTCAACCAATGTGGCGATATTGCCGCCACCAGTTGCATCGTCAGATGCAGGGATATTACCCACTCCAGGTTCAGAACGTAGCACATCATCTATAGCTACCATGGTTTCTGTAAATATGCTACCCAGTAGCTTGCCTCATGTTGCGGGCCTCACAGCACAGAGCTACGAAGCGATGAAGCGTGCGCAGGAGTTTTCTGCTAAGATCGAATTCCGGCAGGACCCGGACTGTCCCTCCCTCACTAACATGTTTCCTGGGCAAATGCCTCCAGAGGTTATAATTCAGCCAAAACTCGCTAAAGCCACCGTTCTTCGTTTGGATGCATTTGGCAGGGAAATTGATGAGCAGGGAAATGTGGTCAATGTGCCTAAGCCATCTAGCACCCTTAAGGTACGGCTCATACATGTTCAGGCCATCTTTTTTAGTGTTTCTATATTTATTCAAATAGCTTGTGGTGCTGACTTTGGGTTGTTGTGCAGGTAAACATCAATAAGCAGAACAAAGAGAGCTTCCAACTTCTCAAACCTGAACTTGACATTGATCTTGATAAAAATCCTCATTTTGATCCGAGGATGGGCATTGACAAGAACAAAATATTGAGGCCCAAGAAGATGTCATTTCAGTTTGTGGAGGAAGGTAAATGGTCCCGAGACGCAGAAATAATCAAGTTAAAGGTACTTCATAATTTGTTCTCGTTGTTGTATTTTCACATTCTTTTGTGATTCTCTCTTTATTCTCCTTATTACTCTTGAATCTTGATTAGGTTTTATTAATTATGTAATTTTTGATTTTGCAGAGCCAATTTGGTGAATTACGAACCAAAGAGCTGAGGATAAAGCAAGTGCAATTGGCAAAGGCAAAAGCAGAGCCTGACATAAATCCAAATCTTATTGAGGTGTCAGAGAGGATTATCACCAAAGAAAAATCAAAGGAACCAATACCTGATGTTGAGTGGTGGTAAGTTGTTTCAATCTCCCTTTTTTTTTACTTTTTTTAGTCTATCACGTGCTTTCCCCCCTAGTGGACCCTTAATCTGTCTCCTCACTCGATGTTGAGGCCACTATGCGTTGTGTGTTTAGTGAGTTCCACAGATGGAAGTGGATCTTGAACACTATTGGTCTTGTGTCTAACCATCAGATGGATAATTGTTTTGATGGGTCTGTGTCCTGGGTGCTTCTAGTCTGTGTACATCACTTATAATGTGACTTATCTCCTTGATGTGGTTATGGTCTCTTATCTTGGCACTGTCCTATCTGCCACACTTTACACACTCTGGATGAGTTCATGTGATGTGAATTTCTCTCCCCTTTTAATATAACTTTCGTTTAAGAAGAATCCTACAAAATTGACATCTGCTACTATCAGCGGTCCACACTACTGGTATTGTGCAATTATAATGTGATTGAAAGGACTTAACTTTTCCATATTTTATTCAATTTACATGATGTGTGGATGATCCTCGGGTGTGATCTCCAAATTTTCTTTTATAGCTATGCTTACCTTGTTTTAATCTTCTTAATTCCAAAAAATGATGACTTTGACTAGACACTTAAGTATTTCTTGTTTCTTCATCTGACATGCCAGGGAAGCTCCTCTGTTACGATCTGGTGCTTATGGTGTTATGGTCAACGGTAACTTAACTGATGATATGTTGAAGATGGAGAGGATCACCATTTATGTGGAACACCCCCGTCCTATTGAGCCTCCTGCTGAACCTGCTCCACCTCCTCCACAGCCACTGAAGCTGACCAAGAAGGAGCAGAAGAAAATGCGCACCCGGCGCCGAATGGATCAGGAGAGAGAAAAGCAGGAAATGATACGTCAGGGCCTGTTAGAACCACCAAAACCAAAAATTAAAATGAGCAATCTTATGAGAGTCCTTGGCTCAGAAGCCACTCAGGATCCCACAAAGCTTGAAAAGGAGATTAGAAGTGCTGCTGCTGAGCGTGAGCAGGCTCATATAGACAGAAATCTTTCTCGGAAGCTCACTCCTGA